TACCGGGCTCATATGTTGGCGGGCCGACCCGACCCGGCCCACCCGGATTGACACCTCTATCCACGCCTAGCCACATTTTATGCTTTTTAAAACACGGATTATAAGTATAAACTTTTCTTCACTTTGAGTTAGCAGATTATGTAATGAAAAAAGACACTAATTAAACACCTTCAATTAGGCGACCAGATTATTTTGGAACCTTTTCTTGTAAATTCCTACTACACCAAGAATGACCTGAAAGAACAATTGGGTCTTAAGTAATGCACAAATTCTTCTCCTTGAAGATCACACTTTTGTTGTAAAATTATCTTTATTGTATTGAATTACATCGAGAATGAACGAAAATGTAACAAATCAACTGATCCAGGCCAAGCTAATTGATAGTTTGGCATCAATTAATATATATGAAAAATTGCATGAAACCATGTTTTTTTTAGTTCTAATTCATTAATGAAGCATCAACTCCTTTAAAAAAAATAAAAATAAATAAATATATAAATCAAGTGAACACAAACTAACACGTAACATGTTACATATATATTAGGTCACAATTAGACATCATACCAAACTCATGTTTGGTTCAGCTAAATATCAAATTTTTAGCAAATTTTAATAAAAATTGATGAAATGTATATTTGAAAAGTTAATAAAAGTAATTAGTCTCATAAAATATGTGATTGGAAATGAATTTGGGAAAAATGAATTTTAAATATTGGGTGTCAAATATGGGCTAAATCACAATCACAAAACTATGAATATATACTATGAAATTTTAAGTATTATAGTTAGTAAATTTTCCCATTAATTGATACTATGAAATTTTTTTCAGAATATATGTCCATCCAATTCTAGTGGTAAATTGACACAAATAACACTAAAGATTTCAGCTTTATAAACTTGTCAAATTATGAAGAATGTCACAGATCTTTCTTCTTTCTAGTTTTCTAATTAGTTTGTGCTACATAACATTATTGGTAACAAAAGCCAAGTCTTTAGACAGAGTGCTAAATTTACTACTGCAGATTGATAATGAAAATCAGTTTAAGCATAGATATTCAGAAGTCAAAGGACTAAACACATTAGCTGCATTATTCTCTATCAACTCCAACTGCCCTTTCAACAAGTGCATGTAAACAATCCAATCTCCATTCCCCTTTGGACTTGGCATTGGCATAACATAACCAGATTTCCCTCTCCATGGAAAATGGTACGAACCAAAACAAGGTTCTCCCCACCCGAAATTCATCTTTTTCACCGGAAAATGCTGCCCCGATGACACCACCACCGCCGGCTCATCCTCACTTGCCCTTGCACAGTATATTTTGGCCCGACCTGGCTCGGGACGATGAACCTCCACCCAATCTATTAGCCCCAAGAAATGTTCTTTTGTCACTGCAGCATCTAAAAACTCATGAATTTCATTTGCAATCCAACTCAATGGCCTCTCCTTCAATTCTTTAATTTTCTTCTCCCCAAATGGGATTGACAGAACATTGCCAAAATATGGTTCAATCAATTTCGCTTGATTTTCGTCTCCATTGATCAATCTAGTCCTCCCATCAACCACAATTCCCAGTCTACAAAACTTATCAGTTCGCGTAAATTCTCCGATAGCAATCATCTTCCACAGGAAGGCACTGAACGCCTCCAATTTAGTCCTTTTTCTCCTAGAACAGCTACTGTCATTTTCAGTATTAGCCAATAACTGGAGATCATTGATTCGATCAGATTTGATATAATATATGCGACTTATTGCTATTTCATCATCATCATCATCATCATCATCATCATCGGCATCAGAACGTTGATCGTCCGCCTCCGGCTGCGGCAGAGCTGAAATTGGAACGTACATGTTGCCTACTGAAACGTCGTAACTGGTGGGGTCGCGAGGGAAAAGAATTGACCGGCGGAAGGATGGGATTTGAGATAATGGCTTGGAGAGAGCCATCTCCGCCCATGAAATGAGAAACATGTTGGCGGAGTAGGCATCCGCCACCTGATGAGAAAATGTACACGCCACCACCATTCCGCCACGTTTCAGTTGCGTGGCCTGCCATCAGAATGAAATAATAAGAGTTTGTTCTCTTTGCTGTTTTCAGGTCATTTTGAGTTTTTAATTTTCGAAAATACGTTTACTTACCTATTTCAGAAATTATTTTCAAAAACGACTTTAAAATCTACAAAGTAAATGAAAAAGTCAAAAAAGTCATTTTGGTTGTTTTCAGTTAAAATCAAACCAAAACTTCATTTTTTTATTTTTGAAAACAATTTTTCAAAATGACAAAAAGAACGAGTTTTCAACAATCTCAAAATGGACACTCAAAACACAAAATCCAAAAGAAATTCAAAACTAAAAACTGAACCACGAAGAAAACAACCCCTAAATTTTTGTAAAAATAAGTTATTTATAGAACTTATTTACATATAAGTACACATTTTAAGCTTAGTCAAACTTACGGATGGAATAAAAACGAAATAAATAAACAGTATATAAGAATTATGTATTAAGTTCAAAGGAGCAAACAGTATGTTCAAACTCAAAGGAGTTATTTAATATAAATATTGATGTTCTCAAATAACCTACCATTTGCCACGCGTCATGCAAATAAATATAAAATAAATAAACATTTAAAAATGTCTGAACATTTTAAGATGAAACAAAAAATTTCAATACTTTTTGTTTCTTATTCTTATTATTTGCTACGGCCTATGAGTATGTCTAAATAATAAATACGCTTTTGTGATAAAAAAAAAAAATCTTAAATTTTATCAACTTTTCGACTTATCAAACTTTAATTGTAACTAATATTTCATGGAATTCACAAATTTTATCAACTTTTTAATCATAAATTTCATCAAAATATGAAAAAAATTTAGGACCATTTGGATACTTATGATTGATGTTACACATAACCTCAACTGTGCAGTAACATCCAATGAACTTTGACAATGTTTGTTGGGTAATTAGCACATAACGTCTATACCTTTCATTGTTATTGTGTAAAACGTCTATACCTTTCATTTTTTTGGCATGGTCAATCTTATTTTTACCTTTTATTGCACAAAATGTCATTTTCATCTATTTTCTCAATTAAAAATTGTGAAATGACGAATATATCCTTTTCTTTAAATAAAATAAAAAGAAAAAAAAAAAGAATTGCAATCATAATTCCAAATTTTTTTTAAAAAAGCGCAAATGAGTCTCAAATACATTATTAAAAAAAGTAATGAGTACATAATGTCTCTATCTTTTATCGTTATTGCAAAAAATGTCTCTACCTTTCATTTTTTTTTTTTGGCATTTTCACATTTAATTACACATTTGATTGTACAAACTATCATTCATATTTAAAAAAAATATTTTTAATTTTTAGTTCTTTAATAATTTATTTGCAACTCGTTTGTACTTTTTAATTTTTAAATAAATTTAATTGAGACTCGTTTGCACTTTTTTTTTAAAAAATCTAAACTTTTAAAATAATTTATTGTGGGACTCGTTTGCATTTTTCTTTTTAAAAAAATTGGAATTACGGTTGCAATTAATTTTTTAACTTTTTTATTTAAATATGAGGATATGTTCGTCATTTCACAGCTTTTTATTGAGAAATATGATGAAAATAGATAGAAATGATTGTTTGAGCAATTAAATGTGCAATTGAAGTTGAAAATGTCAAAAAAAAAAAAAAAAGGTATGGACTTTTAAAAAAAAAGATAAAAAAAAAAAAAAATAAAAAAAAAAAAAAAAAAAAAAAAAAAAAAAAAAAAGGTATGGACTTTTTTGCAATAATAGTGAAATATATGGACATTATGTGCTAATTACCTTTTAATAATTTATTTGAGACTCATTTGTGATTTTCAAAAAAATTTGTGACGATGGTTGCAATTATTTTTTTCCTTTTTCCCTTTACTTTATTTAAATGGAAGATTCGTCATTTCACAATTTTTAATTGAGAAAATGGATGAAAATGACCTTCCGAGCAAAGAAAGGTGAAAATAAGGGTGAAAATGTCAAAAAATAAAAGGTAAGGACGTTTTCCACAATGACAGTAAAAGATGGGAACATTATGTGCTAATTACCCGTGTTTGTATATTTGTCCCCCTACCATGCAATTGCACTGAACTTTACTGTGAATTGCATATCTTTATGCTTATTGAGCTATTTTTTGACATGTGTCAGATGAAAGTTTCGTGATCAAGTATTTGTTTAACATGCAAACTATTAAAGGTTAATCTACTTGTACACATATTCTCTATACCTTGAATTACACTCATTTATGTGGCAAAAATATTGCCATCCATTAAAAAAATAGCTTCTCAATCCCAAGTCACCTTTTGACTCTGGAAAAGTGCACAGCAATGCATGTTTCAAGATCTTACTCTCTTTAAACTGATTAAGTTAATTACTTCTTTTATAAATAATTTTTAACGTTAAAAATAAGTAATTCTTTTTATTTTAAAGAAACATATATATGGGGTATCACATAGCAGAACCTGTATGTATTCTAATAGTAGAATAAAACAAAACAAGAATTGCCGTACTAAACCTTTTTTTTTTGGGCTTTGATTCCACTTGTAAAACAACATTGTAATACAAATTTGTTTATGAGGTGAGTCGATATATTGAAATAATTAAATACCGGCAAGAACAAATTCTTCATAAAAAGTATGAATATTCGGGTCTTCAGGACGTCAAGATAAAAATTAAGACTCATTTTGAAAATATCTATATAGGGTTATGCAAAAGCAATAATAAGCTCGACCCAATTAAACTGAATTGATTTTTAAATTAAAAAAGGAAAATGCAAAAATGAGAGATTTTTTCTGTAAAGTAGTCACCTGTATGGCCAGCAGACCTTGCTTTCTCTTTGGTACAAGTTTCCCTTCTACAGTGGCATCTGGATTGTACAAATCAAGATCCTTGAGCTCTATGTCGGCCATGGCTTCGACGAAGTCAACACCCCGGTTGTTGCAGAGAAGTTCGGGCTCCCCGTAGGCATTCTTCACAAGCTCGCCTGCAAATGCATGGTATGATACTAAAGTTTGTGTCAAGGCCTTCTTAAGAACAACCACCATTGATTCAAACGTAAAATTTTCAGGTTTCTTGTAACAAAAGAAAACGCCGACATCCACCGGCGGCAAGAGCAAGTCGAGATTGGAAAGTGGCAGCCTATTCTCTTGTATAGGCATTACTGGCGCCACCACCTCATTCTTGCTCAACTTCACCTCAAAATCTCTCTTTACATGCATCATTTTTTTCTTAACTTCCTCAACAGAGTAGATTTTACTATTCGATTAAATTAAGAATGAAAAAGGGTGGTTGTCACAACTTAAGAAGAGATTTGTAGAGAGAGAAGTAAAGAGAGGTGTGTTTTCCATAGAAGACGTTATGTCTATTTATAACCTTAATTACTTAAAAATGGGGTATTTCTCTTATTTGATATTAACATCCACCAAATGGCATAGTGGTCAAGGTATCTATATTTGCCAAGGGGAACACAGGTTTGAGCACTAGTTTTAATAACTATGCTTTATAATGGTGAAAAATATTATGTTAAAAATTGTATAAATGATTGCTCTCAAGACTCTTGTTTAACCTATGTTTGAGTCACATTAAAACTTTCATTTTCATTTTTCTACTCATTTTCAAATATACATTCTTTATCAATCTACTATTCCAAAATACATTCTTCTAAAATAATGTGACTCAAACACACCTAAATGGGTGCTATAACAACTTAGCTAAAAGAATTGCTCGATGTATATATATATATGCATTGATACCAAAAAATAAAAAAATTAATACCAACGGACCTAGATAGGGCGAGCGCCGATGCTCGTCAAGTGCTGAATCCGTTGATGGTCGAATGTGAATGTTAATGAATGTGTACAAGCAAATAGAAGAAATAATTGCCTATAAATATATATTTATAAAAGAAGAGTTGGTACAAAATTAACTCTTAAGAGTAAGTTTGTGTATGTAGACAATACATGATATGAAATGTGTGACCTAACCCAAGTTCTAAAAGTTCAGGTCATGAGGGATTACACGCAACACAGAGAACATGGTCAAATTACTTTAACGTTAATCTTTCAAATTAAGATGACTCCAAAAACTATTTTTCTACTAAGAAAACTTACTTTAAAAAAAAAAAAAAGTAACTTTTAAGCACATGGAGCTCTTTTTTATGGTGCTACTGCATGAAAGTTTTTGTTTTAACTACCGATCACCTAACTATAAAAAATATCGATCTTACTAGGGGTACATCATACATCACCCCTTACACAAAGGGTGACATAATAGTCAAGTGTCGCATCCTCATTGCAGGGGGGCCTCGGCCCACATGTGGAGGTGCCTGCCCCCCTTCAATGAGGAGGCGTCACTTGACCATTATGTCACCCCTTGTGTAAGGGGTGATGTACAAGAAACATAATTCAAAAAATATAAGGCTGATATATAAAGATGAATAATTTGTCTCACATAAATGTCCAATTTGAATGTAGAGAATAATGTCAAACTTTAACTTGTGTTCAGCTGAAACATAATCTTTTGCTTCTTCAAAATAATAAATTTTTTTAATAAGAATTTCAGTAATAATTTTCTTTGCTCCTTCTATAACAATACTATATCTTTCATACAAACACTTCAGAAAAAGACAAGAAATTAGGTCGGAGCCAACCACTTTTACGTTTACTAAAGAAAATGATGAAAACTAATAAAATGACCGGCGTTTACTAAAGTAAAGGGAGTAGACGATGAAGACTAAAACTACTATTTAAGGCAACTTCTCAAGTCATTCATATAATGAAAGCAATGTCAAGTTAGAAATTTTTGTACAAAATTTTAAAATTTCTATATTGAAGTGACATGATAGAAGATTAGATAAAGACTGGATTCAAATGGACAACGGAAGAGTAGCAAGTGAATTGAATATAACAAGCATAAAACTTTTTTTTTTTCGTATACTCTATTTTGTCTCTTCGTTCTCATTGAAACTCAATATACAGAAACATAAATTTGTAGTGGAGAACTCCAATGGAATTGTTTCACTTTCTTCAGACATTTCCATTATAGGTCAATGGGCGTTGATTCCTTGAAATTAATTCAATTTTATAGGATAAGCTTTGAATGCAACATTTGAACAAAAAAAATAAAAATAATCTTTTTATAATAGGGCTTTCGTGCTTGATTATGTCAAGAATGCCTTCTTAGTCATTTGTTGATTTCAACATTTTTCCTGTCACTATAAATTTATTATGGGATACTTTTAGGGTATATTTAATTTATTATCCTATTTTTGGTGGTTGTTGTAAGACCGTATAATTGTATAATTTCAAGTGCCCACATAAAAAATATTTTCAAATTAGTTGAACCTATCTTTGAAATAAATTCAAGTAGTTGATCCAAGAAAGATTATTTTTTGTTAACCCAGCTTGTTCTATAGTAATGGATAAAATTTAGAGTCTCCTCCTTTTTTCTAACGTTGGATGGCTTAACGTTGAAATGTGAGGCTGAATTTCAATAATTAAAGAATCACTAACTCCAATGTTTATATTAAAAATAAAGTCCAATATAATTAACTCCGAAGGTTACACGAGATATTTATGAATCTATCAAAGAGAGAGGTTAAGAACATTTTCAAGAGATTTTATAAATACAAAATACTTTTTATTTTAGAGAGTCGATACTTAAAAATAAGTTTTAAAAACTCTATTCAGATTTTTTAAAATAGAGTTTCAACACTCTATTTCTTAAATTATACAAATTTTATTTGAATTGGTTGGTCGTTGACAAATAAAAAAATATGTTAAATAAAAAATGGAAAAAATCAATAAATATTTCTTTAAAAAAAATGATTAACCAAAATAAAGAGCCTTCTAAAAGTGTATAAAAAATGTCACTCTAAATTTAAAGATGTTCACTATTATATATGGCACTCTTTGTAAATAGTGGTGTTCTAAAAAGCGTAAAGCATTACTAGACGTGAAGATCAATATTTAAGTGTTATGAAATTAAGCGAGGCCTAGACATAAAAAATCATTATTATTATTATTATTATTATTATTATTATTATTATTATTATTATTATTATTATTATAAATATTTAATCATTCTAAAAATCATTTAATAATTAAAATAATACATACCAAACATCTAAGATTATAACGTACTATATTTAGGGCGTGTTCGGTAGAGATTAAAATTGAAAAACTAGCCGTAGATTATAACGTACTATAGAGGCCTAGACATAAAAAATCATTATTATTATTATTATTATTATTATTATTATTATTATTATTATTATTATTATTATTATTATTATTATTATTATTTAATCATTCTAAAAATCATTTAATAATTAAAATAATACGTTTTTAAAAATCTAAAATTATAAAATACTAAATTTACTTAATAATTTCCACAATTAGTCAATTTTACATAGCCTATTTGAACCCTATTTTTCTTATTTGAATGCATTTTGGAATAGTAGATTGATAAAAATGTGTAGTTGAAAAATAAGAAAAAAGTTTGAATTTGCATGTAATATTGTCTTATTGAAGAATGCATAATTAAAGAGAAGATAGAGAATCAAATAAGGGCACAATTTTCAAATTTTCTAAATACAAAAACTACATTATTTTTCATAATTTCAAATTTCAACTAGACAAGCCATATTTAATAGATTTACAGGAATTTCATACATACTTTTGAAGTTTTCAACAATACGATAAGTCTCAAAATCATAATTATATATTCTAAATAGCACTGTAATTTAAATGCTATCTAAATCTTTATCAGATAAAATTATTTTTTTTATTTTTGTACAAATAAAATCATCTAAAAATATGAAATTAAAGCTAAATGAAAGCCTTTTAAAAAAGAAAAAATAAAAAACAAGAAGTTGACTGCTTAATTTGTACCTACTGTCAATGCAAAGTGTTTTGTCCGTGCTTCGTGTCTAAGCGCACTTCTTAGATCGCTGGTAAATAGAGAGGCTTTTGGATATACTCTTCTTTAAATACATACACACCCAATATAAATAGTTCCAAAGTTTGAATTAAAAACAAACTCTAAAGTTTTACACGAGATATTTACAAATCTATTGGTTAGAAAGGCTAAGAGCTTCTCCAAGAAACTATATTTTTTAAGAGCATATTTTTCAATTCAGAAAGCATCTATAAATTAAAAAGTAAAAATTCTTAAATACTTCAACAACCTATTTATCTTTCACACTTTTACTACTCTAAAAAAAATATTTATTATTTTTCTTTATCTTTTATTTTCATTAGCATTCTTCCAAATTATTATATTATTTTCCTCAATTGAAAATTAAAATATTTGAATCCATTTAATTATAGAGAGTCAAACTAACTCTATTTTAAATTTTTTTTTTTTTTTTGAAATGAGCGGCTTGCTCTTATTAATAGAACTTTANAATGAGCTGCTTGCTCTTATTAATAGAACTTTACTTGTGGTGGAGGAATACCGTGGTTACAAACCAAATAAAACCAACCGAACTTTTTTTTTTTTGCCAAACTCCTTGTAATCTAAAACAACATTGGAAGATTTAAAGTCAAATCGTGGGGAGAAAAACCTCATAATTAGGAATGTCCAGTTTATCCATACGCAAAGCTCCTCTAACTGATGATGAGATTGCGATAGAATCCATCCAAATCTGTGAAACACTATACGCTCCCAGCTTCAACAGGATATCGGCTACCGAATTACCCTCACGATATATGTGATGAACTCTACATGAGATTATAGACAATAGGTATTGTATTTCTTCCCAGTAATCCTCTAAATACCAAATACTACAAACCTTCCTCCCTAGCCAATTAACGATAATCAATGAGTCTAGCTCCACTTCAAGTCGGTTAATCTCCATCCTTTTAGCATGTCAGAGCCCATATAATAATGCCAGTAGTTCAGCACCATTATTGGTACCCTCACCAAGATTCTCAGCAAAGGCTATGACAATATCACCCTTCTCATTCCGAATAATACCACCAGCACCACAAATTCTAGGATTGTCCAGGCAACATCCATCAGTATTGAGTTTGTACCACCCTTGCATTGGTTGTTGCCATCTCACAACTTTAATTTTTTTCCTTTTAATCGGCTTTACTGGTATATTAAGTTCCCTCAACACCCATTCATCTCTTCTGCTTAACGTTCTTGCTTCTTTTAGTTTTAACCCCATCCAAGAGATCCAAACTTTTATCTTTCTTCAAGTAGCTTCTATAGATTCCATCTTTTCCTCCATCTTGGCTAAGCATCACCACATCCATAAATGCCAGGAAATTATAATAGGAATAATACCTATCAGAGTACCTTTATGTGATGTTTGTTTTGCTCTTCGGAACCAAATTTCTACACGCTCTCTCCATCCTCGAGTCTGCATGCATCGAATTCCTAGTAAGATTGAACATTTTTACCAAATTTGTTGAGCCACATTCTGCAAGGCCAAGATGTTATTTTGATCCTCATATCCCCCCTACAAGCAACACATATACTTTGATACAATGGGGATTCTAGCCTTTAGGATTTTGTCATCTACTGAGAGACCTCCTTTCATGGCCAACCACATATTTAACAAAATCTTCTTTAGTAGAGTTAGGTGCCAAATCCATTCATGCCACTGTGATATCTGTCCCTGATATCTTGTAGCTTCCCAAACACTTTTTACAGAAAAATTTCCATTCAAGCTTTTAGTCCAAATCAGTTTGTCTTTGCCTGTCTCGATTTTTCCCAGTTTAGCAAGAACCCCTCCCGCTTGATCTCTCCCAACTAGCTCCTCTATCAGATTTTCATTCCACCCGTTGTCATTTTTAAGATCTTTGATCAAGATTTTAGGCTGTTCAACCAAAAGCATCCGATCTCTCAAAGGATCCATATTTGACCATCTATCCCACCAAAATGATAAACCATCCTCATTCACTCGCCATCTAGATTGTTTAAGAACATCTGGCATGCAACTCATAACCATCTTCCAGAATCTTGATCCCTTAGTAGCATCCACCTGAGATATGTGTTTGTCTTTGATATATTTTGCCTCTAAAAATTTTTGACCAAAGAGATGTTTCAATAAAATTTTCCAAGCAAATTTCATGTGTAAGGATAATCGCACTTCATGTAGATTACGAAGCCTAGCTCCTCCTTCTTTAACAGGAATACATACTTTCTCCCATGCTATCTATTCCTTCTTAGGCTTTCCATCCGCGTAGCCCTAGACGAAATTACTAAAGATTCTGTTGATAAATTTTATAACCGAAGCTGGTGCTTTAATACAAGAAAGCAAATGTAGATGCATGCTAGTAAGGACATGCCTCAAAAGCAGAAGCCTGACCCCTTTAGATAACACCCTACTTTGCCAACCTGCCAATCTCATACGAATTTTCCCAACCACATCCTCAAGATCTTGAGCTCTTAATCTTCTTGTGATTATAGGAATCCCTAAATATTTGAAGGGGAATTTACTTTTTGTGAATCCAGTGAGTCATAAGAGCATCAGTCTTCTTGACATAGTGATCCATTTAGAGAAAATAATGCAGGTTTTATCAACACTAACAATCTGTCCGGACCATTCTTCATATTTTCGGAAGACCTCATTAATAGATCTTAAAGATTTTTTTTCCACCATTTGCGAACATTACAATGTCATCTGCATACAACCGATGAGAAATTAAGGGAGCCCCCCTTGGTAAAGAAAAAGATCTTATGCTGCTATCTTCATATTTAACTTTCAACATTCTGGATAAACATCTTATACAACAATAAAAAGATATGGAGACAGGGGATCCCCTTGCTTTAGATCCCTTCCACCTTTGAAGAAGCCCTTCATAGTTCTATTCATAACCACAAAATATCAAGGAGTAGTAACACACTGTCTTACCAGACCACAGATCTTGGAGGAGAAACCAAAGGACTTCAATACGTGCATAAGAAAGTCCCAATAAATACTATCATATACTTTGGCGATATCCACTTTCACGACTACATTTCCACAACTTGTCGGCTTGTGAAGGTTATGAATCATCTCTTGAGACAGATAAATATTATTAAAGATATTTCTCCTGAAATAAAAGCACATTGGTCCATAGAAATAATTCTTGGTAATATTAAAGCTATTCTTTTTACCAGAATTTTTGACCAAACCTTATATATTATTGAACATAAATTTCATTCTCTATAATTAAATACATTTAAAATATTCTAAATTTCAATACTCCATATATTGACTCAATTAAATAGTATATACAAAGAAAATTAAGAGACATAATATAATAATTTGAACGGAATCTGGTGAAAATAAAAGATAGGAAAAAAAAAATACATATTGGGATTAGTAAATTAAGCCATTGTTTGAGCTCTATTTTTTTTTTTTATAAAAATGTATTTTTGAACACTAATTTAACCTAATTTCTTTCACACATTTTTTAATAAAATAATATTACATGTAAACTCAATTTTTTTTTTTAATCACACTTTCTCCATCATAACACTATTACGAAATGCATTTTTTGAAAAAAAAAAAAAAAAAATGGGGCACCAACAAACCCTAAGTATTAAAGATGAAATATGATATGGTAAATTCTTTTTTTTAAAAAAAAAAAAAAAAATGGGGCTCCAACAAACCCTAAGTATTAAAGATGAAGTTATTGTTAGAGTATTTAAAAAAATTTACTTGCTTGTTAGAGTATTTAAAAAATTTTACTTTCTAAATTATAAATACTCTCTAGATTGTAATTTAAAAATGAATAATGCCATCGAGCATTAGTAGTGCTGAGTATTAATTTAGGTGGCCACACTTGATATGTTCATTTAAATGAATCATATAACATTGCATAAATAAACCTATCATTTAATATTATGCAATTTTCATTTAGACTGGTACCTGACACCAGTAGTGTTGAAATGCATTACTCTTTAAAAATGGAGTCTCTTAGAGATGCTGAGATTCTTTAAAAGTGAGATATTCGTTACTTAAAAGAGTCAAACCTTAAAATTAAGTTCCAAAAGACTATTTACCCTAACCTTTTATAGAAAGTGAATTGTTTGTATTTATCAAGACTGCACTAATAAAATTGCAAGTTTTAATGTTTCACTACTTAAATTATACATATTTATATTGAATATTTTAGCTATTCATACCAAAATTAGAGAAATGAGGAAAAAACAATAAATGAATGTTAGAAAAAGTAAAATAAATAGTAAAAATAAAGAGTTTTGTTGTAATATATACACAATTTTACTCTTTAAATTTAAATATACTATTTATTATGATCAAGATGCTCTTTAACAAAAAAAATAGCATCTTGGAGATGCCTCATGTTTTAAATATTCACCCAAGTTAACCCCAAAGTTTGTTATAAATACGTCTACAATTTACGTGGGGATTTACGAGTCTATTAATTAGAGATGCTGATGCTTTAAATACTCACCCTAATATAATTAACTCCAAAGCTTGTGATACAATTTAACTTCAAAATTTACACGAGATATTTATAAATCTTTTAATTAAAAATGCTACCGCTTTAAATACATGCCCGGTAATCACTATGACGCTATTTCATTCAGTCCGTGTTGGATGAGAATTAAAATTAGATTTTTAATAGATTTTTTAAAAAAATTGGTAAAATACATGGTTGAAAAGTTGTGGATCACGCAAAATATATGATTTAAATTAATTGTTTACTTTAACTTAGATTAAAATCTAGATTTTTATCTTTACCAAACATTCATTCAATATTCTCCAATATCTGACGTGGCCTAAATGTACTAGAGGAAACAAAACCAACTATTACTAACTCATTGGCCATCAAAAGATTGAAGTTGTAAATCAAATAATTATCTTTCTAACTTCGTTTTTTCTTGATTGTTAAATCAAAAAATTGAATATCCAGCTCTAGTGTGGGAAATACTTTTTGAAATGTGATTTTTATAGAATATGAGATTAAAAAGTAGAAAATTTACCAATTTTTTTTTTTTAAATGTTATATAAATGAGTGTAAAGAAAGGTGGTTTTCGAAAATAATACTTTCACACGAGGGCATAGTAAAGAAACATTAAGGGCCCATTTGGTTTGTATTTCAGTTTTCAATTTTAAATTCATTTTATTTTTGTTTTGATAGTCTGTTTTAAGATTGTTAAACGAGCATTTTAGTTGTTATTTTAAAAATTATTTCTCAAAATAGAAATTTAGAAAACACGTTTGGTTTGAAATTTCAAAATTTATTTTATGATATTTTATTCCATTACATTTGATTATTCAGTAAAAATAGAACAATTTCATGTTGATAAATCTTAAAATATTTTTTCTCCTTACAAAAGTGGAATAAATAAATAATAAATTGAGTTCATAATATAGGTGTACACTCTTATGTACGTGTAACATTTTCATAATATTTTTTTTTAATCTAAGTTTATTTAAATCCTTTTAGAAATTTCATGTAAATAATCATTAAGAGCATAAACTACTTTTCTATTTTAACTTTTATAGTTTTTACTTTTTAAAAACATTTATAATTTATTTTTTTCATAATTTTTTTGTTTTAGAATTTATTAATTTTAATTTATTTGTTAAAATTTTATATATTTAAATTTATTTATATAAACAATTTTTAAACCTTGTTTTTCCATTTTTTATTTTTTTCTGAATTTTTCACTGGAAATACTCAAAAAGTGAAAAATGTGTTCTAAGTATTATGTTATAAATTTATTATTGTTTTAGAAAATGCATTTTCAAAAATGTCATGCCAAACATGCTTTTATTGTTTTGCAAAACTGAAAACTGAAAATAGCTTGAAAACAACTAATCAAATGCATCCTAAAATTCTTAAGTTGTACCTTGAATAATATTGAATTCTTTGATTGTGGATTGACTCCTTTATTCCCTATAACTTCTTTTAGATTCTAAATCAAAAATTAAAGAAGAAGAAAAAATACATAGTAAATAATAAACAATAAGTTGGTCCAAGGATAAAAAATGCAATTAATTTATTTAAATACCACTCGTGGAAATAAATACACTATATTACAGAGGGATTAAGATTCTAAGACAATTGCAATTTGAAATTAATAAATTAAACCAACTTACGGTATGAACCAAATTGAATATAGCCCCAGCAACTGCAAAAAAATGACTTTTTTTGTGAGAATACGTGTGAAGCCTAGATTATAGCACCAGTTGGAATTTGGTTGGGACACAATATGTCAACAGAATTTACCTCCACTCTTCTTCACATATACTAGTGAGAATCACGTGTCATGATATAGTTGAGTACGTAATAGCGTAGGTATTAAAAAAAATATCTATGTCAAGTATTAGTTACATAAAATTTTCTTATAAGTTGCTAAATGTTTCGAAACAACATTGTGGAGATGAAAAAATACAGTTATCGAAGAAATCGAGGCTCACCTTCCACCACAGACTCCAGTTATCGAAAAATGTCTTCTCACCAATCCCCGATGTTCAGTCATTGTCACTTATTTCATAAACTCCTAATCAATTTTTAAATAAAATAACAGGGGAAAAAACTCAAAATAAAGAAGTTTATTATTATCACATTTTAAGTTTTTTTTTTAAAAGTTTAAAATTGATCCAAATGGATATTCATATCGTGAAATATCGAATCAAACGAAAAGTTGTAGGAAAATAAAGTTAGAAAAAATGATATTGGAATGAGGTTGGGATTGAAAAGAAATATAAACAATCACGATTTACGTTTCACAATTAATATAAAATTATTTTGATATTTAAAATTTATCGATCATATATTTATCATGGCGCACTTCAACATTTCCAACAAATTTTAAATCATTTAAAACGAATATTTGCAACTTAAAATACTGAATCAAATGTAAAAAAATAAATAATAAACGCGGCTTCTGAGCCGAGTCAAGTCAAGCCGTCAAGCCATTTGACTGGTAAACAATAAACAAAACTAATCACAAAAAAAAAAAAGGTTAGCCGATTGAGTCATAAAG